ATAAACAGACACAGTCCCTGATAAAAAAATTTAAAGAGACAAGGATTCTGCCTTATGAATCACACGAGTGCCTCTTTTTAAGTTATCCTCGCTCCATGTCGCTGGCCACCTATCGCATTCAGGCGTCTGTCAGGAGATGTTAAAAGCTTTATCTGTATCATCAGTCCTGAGGTAATGAATTAACAATAATGCCTTTAAACAGCCAGAGAGCACTGCCCTTTATTTTGAGCATATTCTATACTGCCACCTGGATGTAATAGGGTGCTATTACATCAAATTAGAAGGCAGCAGGGACAAATCTACTGTTGTTTGAATGGTTTTACCTGTACCTGATGTTTATCCAAACACACGGTCTTGTCTTTTTTACACGATATCGGACACTTTCAAAATGAAGGCAGCATATAAACAAGGGACTAAGATGTACTGTTTGCTCAGTATATGTAACTTGAATTCTCATTCATATTTTTTTTTCTGTCATTATTTGCAGTTTGGGGTATTTTTCTGTTTGGTGTCTCAGAGATTGTCAGGTTTTCTTTCAAACAGAATATCAAACTTACCACTTGACCGATATCTCATGAATGACTCCTGGTTTAAGTGTTGATTTCTCCTGGCTTTTCTGTTATATTATGTGCTGGCACTGTAATTGTTCAGCAGAACCCATGTAGAGGATTGTTGACCTGAAATGAGCAGAATGGAGAATTTTTAGCTTCACTGGCACTTTTTTATTTTTTAAAACTTTGTTTTTTCATTGTATGCTGCCAGGACTATAGAAATATCTATAATAAATCTTTCTTTGTGTGTGTTGTAAGATGTAAAAGTAGAAATTCTTTTGTAGACTTTCTTTTCTCATTCTCTTTTTGTTCTTCTAATACTTTGTACTCAAATATTTGTAGTTATTTTTACTTGTAAAGACTAATAAGGATGCCTTGAGACGGTCCCTGACTGATTCCCCCCTCTCACTTTAATCACTTTAAAGTATACCATGATGTCTGTGTCTTGATGGACTTAATGTTCCATTATTCCAACAAAATGCACAAATAATTTATTATGGAATTATTTCATGCAAGTACAATTGAATGCAGTTTCCCTGAGATGGTCAGACTGAACAAAACAAAAGTCATTTAGAATAGGATGATCTTATAGGCTAAAGAAACAATTATAAATGATTGTTTACGAGTATGTCTTTTATGGGAAATAGCCTCACTCCAAGCTGGACTGATAAAATTGTCCCTTGTAATGTACATATGTGTACCATATATATTTACTATTTTTCATGCATGTTGAAGTGAAATACTCTGAACACAGTGCTGCAGTTTTGATTAAACACAGAAAAAAAATTGTCTTTAGTCTTATTTAGGCACCATGAAAGACTATACATACTTAACATGTTTTATATAATTCTCTGTATAATTTTGCTTCAATGTAATAGAATTGGGCGGTGTTGCACTAAACTAAAAAGTCCTTTAATTATTTTGAGCCTTTTTATTAAAGGCTACAAAACGTTTGGAAGTGTGACTAACACTATATATTTATACATTATATATCAATATAAATGCATGAATAGGCTAATTTTAAAAATATATATTTAGGTAATAACAAGTAGATTAATGTTTCTTATGCACCAGTTTCTGATGCACAATGGTGGTACAATGATACAGTAATCTATCGATTGTACTACCATAGTACCATACTGCTGAATGATTTCCATATTAAAATATTTATAATATAATATAATATCTATATTTATATTGTAAAGAATACCATAGAACATGTTCAAAAATCACGTCAGTATCACATCTTCTGTCGTTTTGTCGCTAGAGGGCGCATGCGTGTCGTCTCGAGTGTGTGTGTGTGTGTTTGGGGGTGTCGTTGATCTCACACACAGGAGGTAAACGCGATCACGTGACCGCACAGTGCAGTTGGTGTTAGTGAGTTTTCACAGCATGGCGGAAGGAGTAGTTGTCCGGATGGATTGTTACTCACCTTTTAATTCATGTCTTCTGTCTTGACGGAAGGATTTTTGGCTTTCACAACGCATTTCTTCACACTTAAAACTACTTAAGGGTATTCTTTCGACGATGGCAGACCGCGGTGTGGATTTGGCAGCTCTACCGAAAGAGGTTAGAGAGCAGTTGGCGGAGTTGGAGCTCGAGCTGTCTGAAGGTAAGAGATGGAGTTATCACCTTAACCTTAATAATGTTTAATAATATGAACCTACTATTTAAATCCCAAGGTCGTATGCCGCTAAAGAGTCACATAAATACTCTCAAGCAGACAGTGTCTACTGCTTTGTGTTGGTGTTTGAAGGTCCTCTGTTTCCCCTCAGAGAATTTTTGAAAGAGGCTGTGTTTCAAAAACTTGCGAGCTGTCTACCTAGACAGAATGTCTGGATGCCTAAAATGCCGTTTCTAACGCATCTGATGCCCAGACATGCTGTCTAGGTAGACAGCTCGCTAGGTTTCTAGACACCGCCAGAGTGTGTTGGAAGAAATTATGATTTTCCACCATCAAATATGCTTTTAATTTCGTGTAAATGAAAGAACCGAACGTGATTGAGAACTAGAAGCACATTGTCACTAAAGCGGCCGTTTATTTCACCTCGAGACTGAGACTATTGTTTGTTCAGGGATCTAGACCTCAAAGAAAAGAGAGCCCTTGACAGTTTAGCTAGACACAATACCGTAGTACAGAGACTGTCAGGAAGGCAGAGCGAGTTCATCATGTGGTTTTGGATGTTGATTTATGTATGTTACGATCGCTGTTCTTCTCAAAGCCCTTTGTTTTAATATTGGAGACGTTTTTAAAGGGGCATCACTTTTTGCTATACGAGTGTGTGTTCTTTAATGCGAAAATCAGTGACAGCATTGGTTCATTTTTGCTGTACTTTAGGTGATTGATGTCCTGTTAGCACACAGACACGCCTTCTCTATAGACACATTTTACTCAGTATTATAAAATGATTATCTAATCCAACCATAGTTTATCTTGTAAACTATATTTAATGTGAAGATGCATTTTTCCACTACACCCTTTACAGACTCTTAGTCAGCTCATTATTTTTAAAATTTAAGGGCTACAGTATCACATAATTTTTGTTTATCAGTTAGCTGTGTTACCAACATTATATGAATAATATTATTAATATAAAATATTATTTTTGTTTAATAATAACAATAATATAAAATTATAGTAAAAATGTTTTATTTTGTGTGTGTGATAGATCAGCCGTTTCTGTCTATTCACATGGTTTAGAAGTTCATTTAATGTTCATGACATCACAGCTATGGTGTTTCATCCACCGTCATGCATCTTCAAGCATCTTCTCTCTGCCGAGTCATCCGTCTGTGAAAGACGGTGCCGTTCCACTCATTCACTCAGTCAGAGAGCACTATGTGGGGTAGATGTGTCAGTGTTTAGCTTAGTAATAGTGTTACACAACTGGAAGTGTGTGGGCCACACTCTCAAACAACTTGTTGATATGTGCAGCTCCAGGCTGCTTATCAAGAAAACCAGCCAGAGACACTGTAACTAGAGTAACACAACATTTTATGACCGTATGATGAAATACTATAAATTATGGACATAATTACTGATGACCATTGAGCCAAGTTTTTGAGTTTTTTGTCATCCAGCCACACTAAAATATCTGCTGAGTGCAGAATGAAAATGTAATGGAATCTTTTACCCAAAAATGAAGGTTTACTCAAGTCATACGACAGAATTTAAATTTGTTGAATGAACTATCATGTGATCTTTAGGTCTGTGACTTTTGAGAGTGTGTGAAAATAACATGAAAGCTCTTACAACTGTGTGTTTAGTATAAGGGTTTTAGTGCCCTTGGGGCAGGTGAGTGATCTGGAGTGTTTGGTCAATTGGAGGGCGGTTGCAGGCTCCCTCACCCCCTCCTCCCATAGGAGCAGCTGCCAGTTACGGCTGTCGCCTCCCCGGACGGTCACCTCCCCACTAGCGCATCACACTCCTGTCCTTGCTCTCCTCTGCTTGCGCCATCTCTTTCTCTCTCTTTCTAGTTCTGGGGCTGACTAGTACTTGCAGATATGACTCAAATTAAATGAATCACCACTCCCCGACCAATCAAAACACACTTTAATTCGGCACAAAGCACTTTAATCATCTTATTTATACCAGTCAGATAAGTTTAATGTCGATATTTGAATGTGTGTTAATTTTTACATTCAAGTGACTTTTTCCAACATGTACTTATTTAAAGGGATAGTATCCCTAAAAATGCTAAAATGTGTCATCTCTCATGCCATTTCAAATCCATAAGACTTTCATTCTTCTTTAAAACACAAATGAAATCTGGAAGTCTATTCATCAAACTCTCACGGTTCGGAAACGTTCATAAAGAGATCTTAAAAGAAACCCAGACGAATCGTGCTTGAGCTTACGTTCCACCAAATATGAGTGCTCCATGTATCAATGATTAAATGTGAAGAAAAGGCTTAATTAAATCTGTTCATCATATAAAGTGATCATTTCTCTTCAGAAGAGGTGAGCTTGATTTCTTTTATAATCTATTTAGTCTTTATAAATGCTTTAAACTAAAGCATCATGGGTGAATAGACTTTCAGTGGAGGGACAGAAATCTTGCAGATTTCTTTAAAAATATCTTAATTTGTGTTCAGAAAATGAAAAAGTCTTTTGGGTTTGGAATGACATGAGGGTGAGACGAACCCTTTAAAGTTAGCCTATTAAAAATTCAAATAATTGAACACCTTCAGGAACTTTTAAAATGAATATGCATTGTTCATACTGTACATTGTAATATCGTGATGCCTACATTTAATTGTAGCATTCGAAATAATATATTTTAAGTTTTTAGTGTTATTCTTCGGAATGAATGTTGACAAAATTGTCACAACTGGCCATAACGTGAAAAAAAAAAAGTATTCGATTCCAGAATTGGAATTGAATTTCGATTCCCAACCGTATTCGTCGTGCTGTTTATGTTCCCCAATGATGGCGACTCCCGGGCATGCAGAAAAGCACCCGTTATTACAAAACTATTGAGCCCGATTTAAAGTGTGGGAATTTTTTAAACCGAGAGTGAATAAAATGGTGCTCTGCGTGTCTAAAACTGAAAAGGCATAGGCCGACCAGGAGCATCTAAAGAAAACATCCAGTGGCTCGCTTACCTCTTCTTATTAGAACCACTTGTATATTAATAAGTAGCTATAAATGTTTAATAAATCTATTAATTCAACAGATTGGCTTATTATTATGTGATATCCAAATGGAAATCTCCTCCAGCAATCTCTAGCATGATCTCATGAATGTCTGGACAAATCCTGGAAAGCTCATGGAAAAGTCCTGGAAATGCACTGGTCTGAAACTGTGGATTCTGATTTGCTGTTTAAAACGTGTCTGCCATGTCTTGCCCTTAATTCTGGGTCCATGTGTGGTTTCCACAAGGGCACAAATTGACCTTGGAGGGTAGAAATATTTCCCATTGCCATGCTCTGCTGGGGCTTTTTGCAGTGCAAAAAGTCTTTCCAAATTATGTCCTACATAATGACCCAATTCTGCAGGATTGTAGTGATCAGAGTAACAATAAGCACCATTGAGCTGATCTGGACTATGGAGGTTCTGATCTGAACTGGCATTTAAGGCTTTCAACTGAAACCTTTGTGTCCCAAATGAGCAGACGAGATATGGACACAGTCTGAGAGGGAGTGTGTGTGTGTGTGTGCGTGTGCTTGCATCCACTCTATGGTTTCCTCACCAAACAAGGAATCTCCTCAACCACTGTGATAATAATAGATATAAGCAAAATTAACACCTTAATCCGAGTGAGACCCTAATTATAATTCTTCTGTCTAGTTGTGCTTTCTTGTACACCTTGTAATAAACCAATGCTGTCATCTGTGAGTCATGTGAAGGTGTTGCAGGAAGTCGAGTGCAGCCTGAATCTGCTCTTGAGTGTGTACCACACTTTGTCTAACCGGCTTAATGTGGAATTGAACTCGAACAATACAAAAATCATTCAAGCTCTTGGTGACGTTGTTCAGCAGATCCTTAGCACTGTAATCTCTTCTAAATAGCGTATTGTTCTTTTAAAGAACAAAGGGAATGATCCTGCTATGCGACCCAACGTTCTGAGCAGCATGGACACCTCCCATTCCATGCCATCTTACTTAAATTACTCCTTTACTTTACCTTAGGGGGAGTTCTTTTAAAATGCAGGATTGTTAGTGGACGGCTGTTATGTGGAGCTAATGTGTGTAGTTTTTAAGTATTGATTGCTGTTATGAAGAGGGTTGAGTTCAGGCTGTCAGGAGACTCAATGTTTTGGAGGGGTGCATGTTATTGCCAGAGC